CCTGAGATCTACCGGTTTTGACACCCACAATGAGGCCTCGCCGCTGCCCCTCGCCCCGAGCGGTCCCCTGCACCGCAGTCGCCCCGCGCTTGACTCCCCGGCGCGCGCCCTGGCCGCGACCACGCCAGTACCCCGCGCCCCTCCTCTTGCTAGTTGCTGCTCCCGCTGGTTGTTGCCCGCCGCCGTCGCTGCCTTCTCCCGCGCTCGCGCACGCAGCCGCCATGCCCGGGCCGCACCTCACCCGCAGTCGCCAAGCACATTTGCGTCGGCCAGTGTTTCTGCCGCCGCCATCACCCGCTGCTTGCCGCCCTGGCCCTGTGTCGTGTGCACTACGTTACCCTATTGGTCACCGACGTGCCCTGGGCGCCATCGCCATTTAAGCCGCCCCTGGGCCACTTCCAGGTGGGCCTAGGGTCATTAGCCTAAGGCCAATTAGCCACTAATCTAAAAGCTGCCCTAAAGAGACACCGCCACTAGGCCCCGCGTCTAATTAACCTAATATAGATTAGTTAAAATGTTTTGCTATCAGTGTGTGTATGACACATGGGACCCACGCGCATTGTTCCAGTGGATAAGGTTGGCCCAGTCAGCTTGCTGACTGGGCAACTGGTGACTGGGCTGTTGAGCCAGTCAACAGGCCCACTGTCAGCCCTATTGCAATTGTTGGGTACACTTCTGGGTGTATCTAGCACTTATCCATTTATTTTCGAATTAATAACAATTCCAGTAAATTCCAGAAATTCTTTAAAACTTCAAAAAATCATATAAATTCAACCGTAGCTTAGTTGAAAATAATTTATATATGAAAAATGATCAGAAAAAGACGAATCCGAATATGCCATCCACATGCCTGCCACATGCCTCTAATACTACAAACATGGAACCTTTCCCTCCGGTTAATTTGTCCGATAACTACCTAAAGCCGGGAAAATACTCCCGGATATTTTCCCACTCCGTCTGTAACGCTTAGCCCTGCATTAGGTCACCCCTAGCACAGGATATTGTCATGTCATGCATCATGATGCATTTGATTGCTTTATATTTATTGTCCCCCCCCCCTCTTCTCTCCGGTAGATACCGAGACCGACACTGCTCCCAAGTATGACTACACTCCTGACGACCAGCCCCTTTTAGTAGAGCTTCCTAGCAAGCAAAACCCCCTCAATCATTCCTATCTCGCCCATTCTTTCTCTCTCATGCTTGCATTAGATTTTGCTACTATTGTTCGATAGCTCCTATTCTAATGCATAGCCTGCTTCTGTAACCTGCTGCAGTTACCTTGCACGTTATCCTATATGCTTAGTATAGGTTGGTTAGTGATCCATCGGTGACCCCTCACCCTTGTCCTTGTTGCCCCGCTTTGTTACTAGAAGATTAGATCTGGGGTGATCGACGTGCTGAGGCCGACACATCACCGCACACCCACCTTTAGTTGTACGACTCTACAGAGCTACTATCGAGTGTCGAGGATGATACCTCCTACCTCGCTCCTGATGATACCTCTGTAGCGTAGTTGTGGGTTACCGAGGGTGATTCCTCTTTCACCACCTTCATGATGCCTCTGTTGTGCATCCCCTCAAGTGTGAACCTATCAAGGTTGATTCCTCCAAGTTCACCTTGACGGTTACATCGAGTGGGAATCCATCGAGGGTGATTCCTTGGATTTCCCCCTTGATGACACGGACATACTGTTACCTTTACATGTTGCCCCTCTTACTGGTGCTGTGGGACTGAAGGGACATGCGGTACCATCCCGGTAGAGGTGGAGACCTGAGTTCCCGACAATATCTTGTGAGTCGGGTTGACCTAGAGGGTACCCGCGAGATAATTACGAGGCATGGCCGGGTAAGCAAACCGCCCTAGAGAGGGATGGGCCTGACCCTCGTCGTAAGTCCTCGAGACGGGGCGACAAGGTCACTGATCGTCCCCGCGTGCTCCCAAAACACTAACGGGCTTGGATATGTGATCTGAGCAGGTCTTTGGCCTTTTCGCACTAACCACCACGCGAGAATAATTATGGGCACTCGACGGCGTACGATTCTTCCGAAAGCTCACAAACATCAGCAATTGAGCGGCGCGCGCCCAGTTGGACGGTAATCACCTGCGCTTGTATAAGGGGGTGGGTCTGCTCCAGGCCGCGTTCATAACGCGCAGGATTGCAAAGGGTGATTGGTCCATTACCCCTTCGCATTTAGGATGTAGATCGGCATGCTGGCCTCTCTGTTGAGTCTAGGTAGGACTACGGTGTGTCGATCAACCAAGGTCGGGCATGACCCAAAAAGTGTGTCCACCCATAGTTAATCGAGCGTGTTGGGTAAGTTGGTGCACCCATGCAGGGAAGTATATCTATTCGAATAGCCGTGTCCACGGTAATGAACGCTCGGAGTTGTATCCTGATCTATTACAACAAGAACTGGATATTGGAGAGCCTAAATGCATATGATGGCTCCGAGATTGTTTTCTCGCAGGGAGTCGAGGTAGGATCTCTGGGCATGGCTAATATATACTTGTTACTATATGATATGTTACTCTACTCTCTTTCTAATGCTGCAAGACGCTGCAAGATGCTAGTCTTCGATAGGCTAGGCCTTCCCTTCTGTTCTGGCATTTCTGCAGTATAGTCCAAAGATATAGCCCCATTCCTTTGATATCGATGCATACTTAGCATAGATCTGATGTAAGTCTTGCGGGTACTTTGGATGAGTACTCACGGTTGCTTTGCTACCTTTTTCTTCTCTACGCGATTGCTGTGATCAGATGACGGAGCTCAGGAGCTAGTTGATCCTGTCGATGACTATTACTACACCAATAGAGCCTACTACTACGTGGAGACCACCGACGAGCAGGAGTAGTTAGGAGACTCTTAGGCAGGAGGCATGTGCCTTTTTGATGTAGATGTCATTGTTTTGCTCAGCCTTCTTAAGCCAAACTTGTCTATTCACGTCTGTACTCAGATATTGTTGCTTCCTCTGACTTATGTATTTGAGCCTTCGTGGCCCTGGCTTGTAATATAAAGCTTTATGTTTGAATTTGTGTCTAGAGTTGTGTTGTGATATCTTCCCGAGAGTCTCTGATCTTGATCGTGTGCATTTGCGTGTATGATTAGTGCACGATTAAGTCGGGGGTGTCACACAACCGCCGCCAAGCAACCAAAGCATCACATCCACCCCAAGCTCACCACGAACGACGCCCGGAGCGCCGCTGTCGCTCGATCCAGCAAGGATTGGGGCTTTCACCCGGCATACGACCTGGGGGAGGAAGAGTGGAAGAAGTCAACCTGGACAGCGCCTACAAGAAGGGTACGACGCCCTTGGGCATCACCACCGTCGTGGCCAACAGTGTCGGCCTCGGATTTCTCCGGAGCCACCTCCCACCTCCAGCCTCCAAACTGGCCCAACTCCAGCGACTGATGGCCGCCCAAGGGAGGACCATCGGAGGCAGCCTTGGCTGAAGCAAACGGAAGCCTCCAGATCTACATCGGGCACCAAGGAGCCGCCCGCATCACAGCCACCACCCGCCGCTACCTTGTCACCCCCGCGGCCGAGAAAGAATGGCCAGCACCAACGAGCGCCGGACCCCGCAGGCCCGACGTCGATCCACCAGCCGAGGCCGCCGCCACGAATCCAGAGCTCCCCGAGGAAGAGCAGCCAAATCCTCGCCGCCACCTTCACTAGCGGCCCTGCGGCGAGCCGGCAACCACCTTCGGGAGAGGAGAGGCAGGGGGAGAGGGCCGGCGGCAGGAGCCTAGGAACGTTTTTGACAAAGGCGAGCACAAGAGGTAAGCAACCTCAAAACAAACAATGTCAACAAAATAGAGGAAAGAGGGTTGGTGGTAGGCCCGTCCTGATGTGGCAACAAACATGAGACAAAATGGAGCTACCCTGCTTTGTCCCCAAAATTGTAGGAAGAAATAGGGGATGAGTGGATAAATGGACATATTTCGGTGATCCAGGGGTGTCGACTTGTGGTTACATCGTCCAAATCCGTTGTATGAATAAACGGGGTGATTTGGAGGAGACCTTGGAGATGCTCACAATTTCTTGAAGATCTTTTTCTTGCAAAACTGACATCCATCGGGGTAGGAATAAGTCGCTGTCAACGTCTCCCTCAACCACACAAAATTACAAGCAGACGCAAACAGTTCCCGCATTGTTTTGCCCAGCAGACTTTTTTTTCTTTTCTTTCTAGAAGTCATTTCAGGAGCTTCTAGTATTGAAAGTGATGCCTTGGCTTATCTACACGTGCTTAGAAAGGTACTTACAAGTTACAACAAGAGGATTAGAACGACGAGACTTTAATTGTTTGACTTCAAATCAATGTATCAATGTGAATCGAGCCTAGCCAAGCAAGCATGAAAGAGAGGCATAGAAGGATGATCTTCTTTCCTCGTCCTCGTGACTTTCTATTGGCATTCAAACGGTTGGCAACCTAACTTTACACAGGAAAACTCAGACATTTCTCTCACCAATCATGTCAATTACAACCCCAAGAACCCATGATTAACCAAAAATTGCTGAAACGGATATACCCTCATATCCTTTGACTACGGTGCTACAGAGATAAATTATCCATTTACTTCCATCTCAATAACAGCGAGGAGAACTCTTCCACCAATGTATATATTACAGCGCCATTCCAAAATCTACAAGTCAAAATCCTCAACCCCAAGCGTTAGTGGAATGTTATCCAAGAACATAGTACAGTAGGCATCTAGTTGTCTCAAATGCACCAAAGAGGCAAAACCACTCCATATGCTTCCCTGTTACATACACATACTAGGTATGCATACATAACCATGAGGTAGCTAGGTGCAGTTGCTAAGATCTAAAGCATCACTAGCTACTAGTACAAGTACACAAGTCTACATACTAATCCTTACGAGAGACATA